TTTTTCATAAGGGTGTTCATGTTCAGTTTTTAACTAGGAAATTCGAATTTATGATAATTCCGATAGCATGTGAAGGCAGCGACCGCTGACAGCTCAGATGAGAAGGGCGGTTATCTTGGCGTCGTGCAATATTTGTAGAGTTAATGTTATTTCACAACCTTTATTGCACCTCGGAAAAATAGGGGGACCTCAATGGTCGGTATGGCCCTGAATTTGGTGATGGACAGCCATTCAACAAACCGAATAGTGCACCTCAACTGATGATTTTAGTATCAAAATGATAAACCTGCCAGACAACTTGTTTAGAGTAAATACCAGGGCATAGAACACCATAATGTTGAGACAACAAAGAGATGCTAAGTCAAAAAATTGCCAAAATCATATGAAATGTTTTCATAATGATTTTCGGAAATTCCAGTTGTACTAAATTACAAGTTGAAACTGGTGCCACTTGCATCATTTTGAACCATTGACATTATAGGTCATGCAATTTGCCTGTATACAACTGCTTTTAGTTTGTTCTTAGTGTGACATCTGAAGGGAATTCCTCCTGGAGTATTGAAGGGAACAATGTAAAAAGCAATTCTTAGCCAGATGTGCAAATTTTACCGATGCGACAAAGCTCTTCTAACAATGAGAAATTAAACACTCATTGCTCCTAAAGGCACACACTTTGTAGTGTACTGTATACATACCGGTTCGTTGTCTACATTTTAAATCTGCATCTGAAGTGTCCCTCTCCATGCAGCGTTCACTTGTCAAAAACTCCACAAGGCGTCAGTGATTGTTTCTATTTCGCCTCTAGGCGCCGCTACTTTATAATGACAGTGAACCCTTCTCAGTCACTTCAGCAATGAACGCAACCTGTAAAAACAGCCCGTTCTCATCCCAAGGCGTCATATACTGACGCTTTTGCCAATGCGTATACATCCAACGCACATGGCACCCTTTAGCGTCAATATGAGACGCAGATATATATGGGCCAGAAGGCGCCTCCTAGTGGTCTAACCCTAACCCTACCCCAGACCTAAACCTACCCATAACCGAAGCGTGTTATATTGACGCTAAAGGGTGCCATGTGCGTTGGATGTATACGCTTTGGCAAAAGCGTCAGTATATGACGCCTTGGGATGAGAATGCGTTGGTAAAAACTATCGCTATGGATTTGTGCCGCTAACCATTTGTTCCAACAAGATAGAACTTATAGACCATATGTAGCCACACCCCTTTTCAGCGCTGAGCTCATTGTCTTTTGACTTCCGGTCTGTATTTTCACAGCGATCTTGCCTAGTTATGAATGAACGGCTCGTTAAAAAAAATTCCCAAGGTCCATTTGTAAAGACATATGCTTTACAATGCTTATCATAAACATTACAATGCTCATGATAACTTTCGTTAACTCTACAATAAGTAAATCAACTTCACCAGCTAATTACTCCTGGACAGCGATGCCATAGAAATATACAGAGCAACCGCAAAAACGGAAGTTCAAAGACAATATTCTAAAGATGGCGGCGCCCTCGTTTCTCTGGTGCATAAGGTCTATGGACTGCATCCGAAATCGCATAGGCTACTTTCTTAAGATATTTATTTTGAATAAGTAATTACTTTACGACAGCTAAAAAAGTACATTCTATGTTTGTAGTATGAATGTAATCCGAACGTACTATATCCGCCGTGTTGTCATTAGCATGTGACCTAGCTACCATCATCAGTTGCGTCGCTTCACTGCCATTCATAAATCCTCTCCCGTGCCCTCGTGGATAGTAAAGTGTCCATCATACGCACACTTCAGAACCTCCCTGGAAGTAGGTCATTTGGAAGTTTTAGGTCAATATTACTTTTTGCCTACTCTTTTATGAGTGCTGTGATTTCGGATATAGCCTACTGTACTTCTTTCGTCACATAGCCTACTGGTTTTCACCTATAGACCATAGGGAAGTATGCGATTTCAGATCTAGCCATATATCCTTCACTGCCTGTGTTATCCCACTATCCTGTTTGTTCGATTCTGTGACAATTTTTGCTAAAAAAAAATAAAATGGTGTCTGAATAATAATTTATGTGTAAATGGAACAACTTTTAATTTCTAGCAAGAAATTAGTATTGTAGTTATTAAATATTTCCTTAGTTATCACCATAGCTCCCTCTATAGGTTGTAGATCATTAGACCGTTGCCTAAATATTGTTATGAAGCCTGTCCGAAATCAGTTTCGGTAGGTTCCAGGCAAAAAGTCTACCTAAGCTTTCTTGTAAGTCATATTCATAAGAGTAATCCCGTTATTATTAAACAATCCTGTTTCTCTCATATTTTAAAATAGCTTTCGAAAGTCTGATTCATTCTAATCAATCAGTTTGTCCTAAACAGACCCCGCTCTCTGTTAAAAACAACCTGATTCATTATTGTACATTGGTTCATCCAAACGGTTCTAAATGAACAGATGCAAATGCAGCATATCTTGCCCATTATGGTATTCATAATGTTGTATTCTGTAAACTATACAAATCTTGCCTTCATAAAAAAGGAAAATGTGTAAAAATTAGTGTCTGTCCATCAATATGCCTGAGAATAGGGTTATATTTATTCAGAATTAACTATATTCAAGATTTATATAGACTTATAGTCTAGATGTAAACAGATATCTAATCTCAAAGATATTGTCAGCCCATAACCTTTTAATGGCATATTTTCCACTTTCTTGTAACTTACTGAATATAGGCTACACACGTGATGCCCAAGGATACAGATTACTTCATCTACTATATCAATTTCTCTCCCACTGCTGGGAGCTCCTGGTGAAATGACATTTTGATTATTTCCATAGCTGGATAAATAAAGTAAGTAAATGTTTTCCATTTTCATTAGGCTTTTGTACAGAATATAGTCTGTTTCATATCTTTGTTTTAAAATTACAAGCATTCACTGTGGTATTCTTACATCCAGTTTAGCATAATTTCCTCATGATCATTACCTCAGACCCTACATAAGAAACATATTACCTTCTGATTCATAAACTTACAACAATGCTTGATGATATGCAGAACAAATCACAAGCCTAGCATTCATTCATTTAATTTAGCTATATTCATTTTATCTTACAACCTTAAGTGTATAAACAATATATTTGTTCAATGTTCAACCAAGTCTTTGTTAAAACTAGAAATAATCAGATGCAAAATTAGAGGACAATAAAAATAACTATTTTTATTTTTTTTCCCCAAATCTACTGTGTAAGATAAATCTTACCGTATGATACTTCAAAATACAATGGGTGCAATATTCATAAAGTAATCTCTTTTGATGTATATATCTCTGGCCACTCTGGACATACATTAATTACACAATATGGGTTGAATAGAAAAATAAAAGACTAGGATATTTGGTTTCTGTTCATTATGGCTGCAAAATAACATGACACCCAGGATTTTGACAGCCATTTCATGTTTCAAATATTATGCAAATCACTAAAAGCCGCACTAAGTGGGACTTTGGAACCTGAGACTAGAAACAAAACTGTCCCCATTTTTAAGCAGTAATGCATTGGCCCAGTTTCCTAGACAGGGTTTAGATTAAGCCTGGATTAGGCCTTAACTAATTAAGACATTTAAGTAGCTTTTATAAAATAAAAAAAAGTGCCTTAGAAAAAAAAAACTTTACTGATGTGCATATTGAGACAAAACAATGGCACTGATATATCTTAAGATATCAGTGCAAGTTGTTTTCAGTTAAAACAGCTCAAACATGCATTATAGTCTGGGACTAGGTGTGTCTGTGAAATTGGGGGATTATCTTTTAAATCATAATCTTTTGAATCAGGGTTAAAAACAATTAAAACAAAAAAATCTTAAAATGTACACCCCTTTAAATGATGCAGGCAAAATATGTGACAGATCATCTGCAAATGGGCAAAAATATATACTGTGAATGGTAAGATTTTTTTTTCTTAAATAGAAAAATGTTCAGCATATGTCCAGCACACAGTTTAATTGAGAAAATTACGTAACTTCTCCCATATTTGTCCATATATTGGCCCAGAAAATATTTGTACAATTTTGTACACTTTATGTCACACTAAAAAAAAAAAAAAAGAAGAATTATGAAACCAAAATATTAAACCAAATGGCATCTGCAAAAAAAAAACTAAAAAAAAAAAAAAAACTTTTAACTGATGTCAAGGTCTTTTTTGTGAAGGTATAAAAACTGCTCCCCTCTAGTCTAAAATCTCTTTCTTATAAATTAGTGTGGTTGAGATGCCACTTGTTTTCATATTTTGTACTGTACATAATGCAAAGACATTGATGCCCTTTTAAGTGTGGCTTGGGTGTCTAAAACTGTTGGGGGTCACTAAGCATGAAACACATGAAGCATGAAACTAATCTATCAACAAATCATGGTCACATGTATATTACAGAATACAGATAGAGAATAGAATGGCTCAGGACTTGCTTTACTGAATACTGAGAGTTGCAAAAAAAAAACAAAAAAAAAACAGTACAGCTGGTTTGGGTCACTGTGGTGCAATTCTGGAAATCTGAACATTTGACCTACAAAAGCCACACTATTACATCTGGGTAACATGATGCAGTATATAAATACATAACTCTTTACAACTTAAAAAAAAAAATGTTTGCCTTTCTTTAAAACAAAAAGAACATTTAATTTCACATAAGTATGTCAAAGCCTTTACAATTAAAAAGCACAAAAATAATTAGAATGACAAAATAAACAACCTATGCTTTAAAAAAAAACACACAAATGCAAACATGGCACAAAGCACATTAGAATTTCATAGACCAGTAAAGATACAACACAGGGCAGAGTCACTACAAACAGGGGGACACTAAATCAGAATTATGCTTACACTCAACTAAAATGTTATTCATACAATGCTTCAATCAAGATCAAAGCTCTTTTCTAAAAGTGTGTGAATGCACAGTCAGAGGTCATGTAATATACTACAGATTCTTTTGTTCCATTATATTTTCAAAGAGTCAAAAACATAATTTATTTGGATTTTTATGCTGTAGACGCCCTCATTTTTTATACCCAATAGCCATTCAGTATGTATTGGCTAATTAAAATGTAACCCCTTTAATGTGTTATTTTGTAATGAATAAGTTAGAGACTTAGAGAATAAGCATAGTGGCATGTTGGATTTTTGACATTGTGTCTGAGCTCTGAGCAGTTATCATAAATGAGAAAATTGAGGTGGAAAAAACATAGTAACACATCTTTAATAAAATTCTCATTACAGAACATCACATTTTGCTACACACTTATAGATTCATATTCCACAGATCAGAAATATTTGTTGGGGTAAAACAATAGTCAACTGACACAATGATTTCAAAATGAAGGCAGAGTGAAAGGAGAGACTGTTGATAATTGCGAGAGAGAAGGAGAAATAGATAGATGGATGGACTGATGGAGGTATGGATGGATGGTCAGAAAAACATCTACATCTCATGGGAGAGGACTTCATGCTCAGGTACGCCATTGGCGTGGATTTCTTGCTGGCCGTTTGGTTGTGTGTTGTTCTCATTGAGTCTGCGTACGCGGTACATCTCGTAATGGATGCTGCTTGCAATATCTTTGATGTTCTGCATGTGAGTTCTAGAACAGCGAAAACAGACACAGAGTAAACACTTATAGCCTATTGAAATATATTTACTAACAAATGAACTGCAGTCTTGTTTATCCAAGAACTGAAATGTTGATTTGTAGAATACCTGATGAGCAGGTCCCGCAAATAGGCAAACTCGCAGTGTGTGGTGTTCTCAACTGCAAAAACAATTAGAAAAAGGAAGATGGTGTAGTTTTAGAGAGTATTTCAGTCATGAAAAACCATTAACAAATTATTTATATTACATATTGTATAATTCAATTCACATTTATCTGTATAGTACCTTTCACAATACATAGCGTTTCAAAGCAGCTTTACAGAAAATGTGTCTACATTACAATTTAAAGTGATCTGTTTTCAGAGGTGACTATGTCCAAGTACATATGCTACAAATCATGCAATTAGCTAACAATGTATTGATTTAAGGCAGAAACAATGATTGAAACAATGATTCATTGAAGTGATTATTACAAGTTGTGAACATAATGATTACAATAAAGAGAAATTTAGCATTGGTGCGTGTTAAATAAACAGTCTATCTGCAACTGTATGTTTCTGTATGTGCTCGAGGTGTGCTAGCATCTTATTGCCACTAGATGGCAGTGCAGTAAAACAGATGACACCAGAGTAAGCATATTTGAGCAGCAAAATGCTTCTTTAAAGGGATAGTTCACCCAAAAATTACACTTTAAAAAAATGTTGGTAACCCATTGACTTCTATTGTAGGAAAAAATATATACATATGGAAATCAATGGTGCCGTCAGCTGTCGGGTTACCAACATTCTTTAAAATATTTTCTTTTGTGTTCAACAGAAGAAAAAAACTCATACAGGTTTGGAACAACATGAGGGTGAGTAAATGATGACAACATTTTTGGGTGAACCATCCATTTAAGTAACATCACATTTAAAAAAAAAAAAGACTACTGAGTGTGTGCATGAATGCATAAAGACTCTTAAAAGAGCCCATTAATTAAGGAAATAGATTTTTTTGGGATTCTGTTGATTTTTCGTAGTTAAAAAAATAACATGCAGGGCTGATTAATATTAAATAAATATGACAATATGGGGTAATGTAAGAAGAAGAATGTGGTGAGGAAGACAAACATAAAGCAACTAGGCAACTAGGCATGGAATGATAAATTAGACTAGAGAATATATAGAAACAGAAGCACTGATAGCGTCCTCTATTTTTAACTCTCCGGTCACTGCAAATAACTGTTAGTGTGAATGCCACTTTACCCTTATATGTAACATACAATGGCATCTTAATAATAATACGACTGCACTTACAGCACTTTCAACACTCTTCACATATTAATGCTATATGATAGTTACTACTTTCAATCAATTAACTTTTACCACTCTCTTGTCCATGCAAGATAGAGCTTTTCGAATTACTATTGATCAAACGTTTTCTATGTGGAGTAGTTGTTTGAATTCTCGGTAACTAAGATCCGGGTCCAGGAACTTGATTTGCTCTTGGCAGCAAGAATGAGAACCACACAGATGTGAATGTGTATATTAGGGCTATAAATTGAATAAAATTGTTTAGCAATTATTTTAATTATATACAGCAATTAAATTAATGTCATATATTTTGTAGTTAACGTCTCATTCAGTTCCATCTTATTCCACTTTCTGATTTAGAACTACAAAGATTCTACATTTCTAAAACAGCATTAAATGTAATCAACATTTTCTAAAGCTAAACTACAATAACTAGATTACATTTTCAAATACTTTATTAACTTAATTTGAATCTTTCTGGTTGACTTGTTATTGCAATGCTTTGATGCCCTTCTCGTTCCTGATATTTGAATAAATGTTTTAATGACATACAAGTATGAATTGCATTAAACATTAAAGTAATCGGATTAAGGATGTCAATTTTCACAAATTCCCATGATCGATCGTCGTTTAAATTAACGATCAATTAATCGATTAATCGTTAGCCTTAATACTGCAATATGCGTCTGCTGCAGTGCATATGGCCAACAGCATGACAGTGTCTGCAAATGCTGCTCAGACCGCTATGTTCCTCACCAAATTAATGAGAATGGTTTTAATCTAAATAAAGGGCTAGTAGGATTGTAAAATGTTTCGATGTGATTGATAATTAAATTACAGGGCTCGAATTTCGGCGTGGGATTGCGGGTATTGCGCATAATTCTAATAATTCCCGCAGGTCTCCCATTTATAATGCAGGAAATTCCCGCAATCGTAATCCACACAGATTATAAAATCAAATCATTCTTTTAACAACTATCTGCCAGGCGCAATTTCACAAACAGCGTGGCTGTTGAGCGGTGCCGCGTCTTCTATCTCTTCTCTCAAAATGTGTTGTGCAAGGCAAGCATCAAGCGCTGCGGCGACACACTCGCGTTTAGGAGTCGGGACATGACGGAATATTCACTTGCACAATCGGGCCAGCAGTACATCGTGACTGAAGTTTACCATTTGCACGTCTTTTTAAGTCTTACCAGTTTAAACATTCAAACGATTTTAAACTAATCAGTGCTCGTGCGCTCTCTGAGATGATTTTCTATGCGCACATTCATAGAGAATCCGCCTCAAAAACAGCTGGCCAGTAACAAAAGTTATTTTTCGCGGATTATATTGCTTTAACACGCAAAATTGTGTCAATTTCGGTCTTCGTGAGTATACTCTAAACATAGTCGGTTTTGTCTTTTAATAAGCATAAAACGCATGCCAGTATAATGAACACAGGATCCGTGCACTAGCTGCTTAATTTAGTTGTCAAAACAACAAAATATAGCTTTAAGTTAAAGGAATCAGGATTAATAGCCTATATGTATTTAATTTATTAAGGACACAAATACTACCCAGTGTTATTTTCCATTTGATTACTTTATTCAGTTTCTGTAGGCCTATATGAAGTTAGACCCATTGAAAAACTTTTCTCTTTATTTGTCTTTATTTGTATCTTTATTCTATTGTATTTATTTGTGCTACTTTTTTCAATTTAATTAAACAATTTAAATCAAGCTTCCTTGTGTTGTGTAAACTCTTAACAACAATATTACCCCATTGTAAAAATCCAATGAGCGCAAACATTTAGGCAAGATAAATGTAATAATTTTGTTTGGGAAAAATGCCCCCCGCCCTTCTCCCTCTCATGTTATGTAATATGACAGTCCCAAATTAATCATCGTTATTAGTCGTGCATTCTGCTTGAGCGGCGCGCGCTGAATGAATAACTTAACCGTTGAGCACTTTGCTAGCACGTTATTTAACTCAAAGAAACGCATCCTATGAGATTAATCAGATATATACAAAATAAACATAATATTACAAATTATATCTGCACAAAATGACGTGAATGCACAAGTGAACTTGAACTAAGTTACGTGCCATTCAGAATGACTCATGTTGTGGACGCGCTCTTCCTGGAAACCCAAATAATTCACAATGTTATATTACAATATTGTTCTCTTTATAATGTTATGTAATATGACAGTCCCAATAGTCGTTATTAGTCGTGCATTGCCATTTGAGCTGCGCGCGCTAAAGATCACGCTGTGTCAATTCTTAACCAAATGCATCCAATATGAGATAAATCAGATATAGATAGGCGCACACAAAATAAACTATTACAACTTACATTTGCACAAAACAAAAGGCAGCGAATGCACACGCAAACTTATAGTCATGATGAAGGTGTAAAATAGTCCCAAACATAACTCCGGCGCGCTCGCTTACATGTTTCGCGGTTGAGCAGCACGCACGCGCATGAACCTGCTTAATCGATGATCGATAAGGTTTATCGATTAAACGTGTTATCGACAATTAATCGATCGTCGATTAATCGTTGACATCCCTAAATCGGATACATTAACTTAGCCCTAGTGTGTAAATGTATATTGTCTAAGATATCCTGTAGAGAGCATTTGTGATGTGGCTCTTTAAAAGTTTGGCTTAACTGTCAAAATGTCCCCACAAAAAATGGCAATTTACGAAATCCTTGTGCTTGTGGGGACATTTTTGGTCCCCATGAGGAAAACAGCTTATATACCATAATAAGTGGGGGGTTTTTTATGCAAAAATGCATAAAATTTTGTGGGAAAGGTAGGTAGGATAGAATATACAGTTTGTTCAGTATAAAATCATTAAATCTATGGAAAGTCCCCATAAAACATGCAAACATAATGTGTGTGTGTGTGTGTACTACCTTCTACTGTCCCCCATCTTGTTTTCCTTCCCAGAAGTCTTTTTCCATTGACCTGATATTCTTGATCACTTCCCACCACAGCAAAAGGGATCATCTCCTATAACACACATCACATGGAAACCCTCAATATACAAAAGCAACAGTTGGAATAACAACATACAGCCCAGCCAGGCTGAAACGGAAGACTCAAAATTACTGTGTCATAAACAAGACAGCTCTTTTTAACGCATACGCCAATAAAAGTGACTGAGTGATAGAGATATATCGTAAATGACAAGTGGACATACCCTGATCTTCTCATTAATCATTCTGTCTTCTGCATCCTCATCAAACTCCTTTTGAGGATAGATGTCGATTTCATTGGCTCGTAAGTCCTCTCTTATCTGCACATACACACAGCAGAAAAAAAAATCCATGAATCATTGTTTAGTTCTTTGTTCATTTATGGAGGACATGTATGCCTGTGCACAGAACATTAGGTTATGTAGTTGTTTATGAGGCATCCTATACAGAAAGAGGGCTAATTATTTTGTCAACAAAAGAGGCTGATTCATAAATTTTCTTTTTTTTTAAAAGACAAAATTAGTAAGAGTTCAACTCTTGTTAAAAACATTAATAAGTTAAGGCCTAAAAAAACCCCCATGAAATTAAAGAAATAGTTCACCTGAAAAAGAAAATTATGTCATAATTTACTTGTTGCAAACCTGCATGGAACACAGAAGAAAAGCTAAAGAATGTACCAGTTGCCCTTTCCCATGAAATAAATAGGGTTTGGAGAGTTCAGTTCAAGCTTCAAAAAGGATGCAATGGCATCATACAAATTTATCATTCATCTCAATATATTCCAAATCATCAGAATACCGTATACCGCTATACCGTAACTTTTTGTGATGTACCAAAATGTCAAAGTTTTTCACTGATAATTTTCCCTCTTTTGAGCTGTTAACTATTGACTTGGAGAGTTGAAGTTGAGAACAGAATTAGTCCTGTTTGTAAACAAATAATTTACCTTTTCCACATAATGAAAGAGATCCAAGTTTCAAGTAGTCCATACTTGACAAAACATCCAAACATGGATTCTGAACACTTGGAATATAGTGTAGTCGTATGGACCAATGTTATTTTCAAATGAGTTATATACTATTATAATAATTCATTACATTTATATAGCGCTTTTCTAGGCACTCAAAGCGCTTCACATAGAAGGGGGGATCTCCTCAACCACCACCAATGTGCAGCATCCACTTGGATGATGCGACGGCAGCCATATTGCGCCAGAACGCCCACCACACACCAGCTTACTGGTGGAGAGGAGACAGAGTGATAAAGCCAATTAGTGTATATGAGGATGATTAGGAGGCCATGATGGACAGAGGCCACTGGGCAAATTTGGCCAGGATGCCGGGGTTACACCCCTACTCTTTCGAAAGACATCCTGGGATTTTTAATGACCACAGAGAGTCAGGGCCTCGGTTTAACGTCTCATCCGAAGGACGGATTATTATTATTATTATTATAGTATTTATTAATATTTTGAATTATCTTTTATTTTTATATTTTTGATTTCACTTTAAGTTTAGTTTAAGTACTTATTTTGTTACTTATTTTGTTGTTTGTCATGCTTTTACTTGTTATATATATTTCTTAGCTTATATTATTAAATATTATTTAGCTTTCATTTTTAGTCATTTTAGTACTTCAACTTACTTTATTTCAGCATTTCTAATTTTCCTTATTAAGTAGCTCCGTAAGGGTTTTTACATTTTATTTTTCAAGTCATTATTTTTTTTATTTTATTTTTAGCATTATTTCAAACAAAAACTATTATAAATAGTTTTAGTTACCAGTGCTAGTTAACACTTGCATGATCAACTTTTATGACACTTTCATGGTGTGGTTATTTTTTTTATTTATTTGTTTGGTCATTTTGCAACTCAACAGCCTGAATCCCCCTTCAATTTCATTATAAGGAAATGAGCAGCCAGTAATTCATGTTTTCTCAATTTGTTTTTCACAGAAGAAAGAATGTCATACGGGTTTGGAACGACATAAAGAAGAGTAGAAGGGTGACAGAATTCTTTTCATTTTCTGGGTGAACTTTTCCTTTAGTGACGCATTCTCTACTGTATATTAAGGGTCACCACGCCGTCGCTTTTCAGATGTCAAACTGAATAATCGTAACCCACATGAATTCAGACCTCTGGCAGTGAAGATTTAAACAGGCCATTGGGAGCATAATGAAAAGAACACAGTGAGAGAGCTTTCAGCCTCTGGGAGTCTTTAATGAATGACGAAGAATCAAAACTACACCCTTCACAGAATACACTGAGCTGGTGTATGTTTTGATTCTCTGCTTCCATGTGCTTGATGTCCTGAGCTGAACATTTAAGCAAATAAACCAGACAAATTCAGGAAGTCCACATCAATGTTCTCAAGGTTGAAAATAGAGTCACCCCACTCTCCTGTCAGGTCAAAGGCCGCGTGGGGTGGAGGGAAAGGATCTAAGGATTGTGCACTGACCACACAGCCAAAAAAAACAGTTGTGTACAAGCCTGAAGAGCTTCTGGAGCCTACAGTTTGTTCCGTTTGGCAGGTGAAGCAAATGTTAGGAGGAAACGGTAGCTTGGACGCCCACTGAGTTTCCTCTGGCATCTTTTACAAAGGCAAAACCAACAGACGTCATGCGAGGTGACGCGAGGATAAAGTTGCCTTCACCTACTACAAGAGCACAGGCCGACATGTTCATTGAATAAAAACATGAAGTAATAATACCAATTTAATCACTCCAATCAGTAGCCAATAAATTAACATACTAAACAGCTAGATACATGCAGTCCTCAAGATCTCTTCTTACTTTTGGATACCCTATTATTTCTGTACACCAAAGAGTAAGTCATCAGTTCACATGTTTTTTGCTGGTTTTATGGCAAACCTCCATTTGCTGTACCAACTCCAGCTGCCCACTGCTGGATCTGTCCTGTAAACTGCCTCTACCAGCCTTTGAAGTTCTGCCGAGTTACAGTTTAAGTTGAGGTCAAACTAAACACAAAATGCCTCACCGGCCCCTGAACCCAAAAAAAGATCCCAAAAATACTCAAGATCTAGGTTCTAGGGCTTTTCCTCCATAATTAAGAATGTCCAAGCATGATTGAAGATATTTCCACACATCAGTTCTACAATTTATGGGTGGTTATAGAGAGCCCCTTTAAATGGAGAAAAAACAATGCCTTCTTATTATAGGATAGAAAACAACTAATAGTATAACTAAGCAACAAAGTACCAGCCTATGGTATATCGCAAATATAGTCAAACGCTGAAGGGTGTTGTTAGGCATGTGCCACATATTTTATTTAAAAAGTTAATTTTATGTCAAACATTTCATTGGCAAATGAAGGTGGTTGAACCAGCTGTGCATGCATTGCAACTTTACCTATAGTTGCAATACTCATTAGAGAAGAGATGCCATTGCAAGGAGGATAAGTTGTTATTTAAGTGACCACGTGAATTTAATAATAATATGAATAATGATATAATGTATTTCAAAATGCTAGAACATTGTTCCAGTCCTAGATGATGATTATTTGGTACAGTGTTGTATCATTATGCACATGGCCAAGTGTAGTCTGTTACTCAACATGCCAACAAGGCATGCTCAGGGGGGAAGAGATTTGCACCAATTTACACCATCAGGAAAGTGATTCCCACAGATATTTACCCACAGAGGTTCTCACAGACATTGTGTGATGACAGTTTGTAATGAGGTTAAAATGCTTAAAAAAGAAATCCATCATTATACAGCTGGTGTAGCTTCTTGGATGAGCAAGGCAAAATGTCCTCAAATTAATGGAAACATGCAATATGCTCCCAAATAAATTCCTTTTATGACCCGGGTGAATGATATAGACAAGAGGTAAAAGACCCTCACCAGCAATTTACAAGGTGAGGAATTGAAAAGATGTAATAAAACCTCTTATCATACAGTTGGAAGAGGTCCATTATATACTTTCTGTGGAACTCACCTTCTTTTTGAAGAAGTCTCTCTCCTCCAGGGTCAGTGTGTCTGCTTTGGCGATAACAGGAACGATGTTCACCACTTTACTTAGGTGTCTCATAAACTCAATGTCAATTGGCCGCAAACTAAAACAAGGAAGAAAACAAAGCAAAGCAATCAGACTCAAAATGGACAAATTGAAGATCATTGCGTAATGTCTATTCAGTCGGTCTAATGTTTAATCTTTATTTTAACCATTTAAAGTAGTAGAGTGTGAAAGCAGTTTAACCTCAAGTATCTCATTCTAATACTGTAAAAGCAGCACAAATAATTAACAAGGCATCAAAAGACTGACAAACAACCAATGTGAATAATTTACTACAGATGGTTAAAAGTTTAAGAAATGGGGGAAACGTATTCACCCTTATATCAATCTGATTTTCTTTCTTATGTGGAACAGTAGCAAAGCGGAAGTGAATGGTGACTGGGACTGTCTAGCTCAAAAATGACAAAAACCAAAAAGCACAATAAGCAGCATATTGCTGCAGTTCTGAAATCTCATTCATGTTTTCATATCTAAATATGGTACGTTATTGGTACTTGTTTGTCTCGTAACAGTCATGATGTCCCCAATTCGAATATAGTATGTCAAAATCACACAATAGCACATATTGTCGGTGAATAATGACTTGTTTCTCACACAAAGCTCATATGACCTCATTTGTATGGACTACTTTTGTGGTGATTTTTTGTTAAAATAATAGCAATAATAAAAATAAATGGTCTAAAGTAGAAAAAAACACATGAGTTTGGAACAACATAAGGGTGAGTAAATTATGACAAAATACCTTTTTGGGTGAAGTACGCCCTTAAGGATATGTTGAACTTTCTTCTGTGCTTGTGACTTTGCATTACTTGTACTAAAAAACTTGTACATATAACAAGCTGGCATGTGTATTTAGGTCTGCTGGGTTGATTTGAGTGTACTGCATTCACAACCACAAGGCACAAACAAACAAGTAACACTGACATATTTAATGTCCAAACATCCGGTTCACTCATCTCACATGACACATTGCATTTTGTCTTTTTAATAAACTGGAATGAACATGCACAGAGCCTCTTAGTCCGCAGGACAAAAATATGTCACAATCTGGGCTTGCTTACTATCACATGGGGAGGACCGCAGAGCTTGAGGACTTTGAATATTCCGCTGAGTGCTAAAGCACACAAAATATACACGTGCACGAGAAGCTCTGAGGAATTACATGTATTCACAATTACATGAATCTTAAATATATAAGCATTACCTTCACACATGCAGTATATTATATGATGTTAAAAAGTGTAAGCCCACAAAACAGAAGGTGACATTGAGGTTTTGAATTGAATTGAATTTATATCTTCATGTATATTTGAAAGGAAACTTATTGCATTATCAGATGCACATAACTTGCATGAGCCCTGGCAGGGAAAATACCAATTTGATATTTGAGCACCTACCCACATCGGTCTCATAATTCTTTCATAGAGGAAGGAGTCACCATCTGTGGTGGATACTTCTCAATTCACTTCCTGTTTTCCAATAAACCATATGGAAATGGCTAGCCACCAGAGTGCAACATCCACTAATGAGATTATAAAAGTCTCCACAAGGTCTCAAAGGATCTGTGTGAAATGTCCAAAAATGAACCTCATGGCAAATTTGCAGCCAGTGCTGACAGCTGATTCTGGGATTTGATTAACAACTACAGAGTTTATAGTTGGTTTCTGCTTTTCTGAAAACATGATGATTTAAAAGTGACGAGCCAAAGAGCCAAATACTGACAGTGAATTGTGGTATTGATGTCTGATGCTCAAACCCTGAAGGCACTTGACAACAAATAAATATCTGTAATATTACATGCAAAGACATCCCATTGCTATTACACAACACTATTCAGGGCTGCAATTTTAAACATAGTACTTCCTCATTGTGGAATTATGGCATAATAACTAACTGAAAACATACAGCGCTATATGTTATGTAGCACTGTGTGTGTTAAATTGCTTAAAAGCCTTAGTTACATGTCATTTAAAATACACAATTGCTGCCATAAGTTCAAGAACTTCCTGGAATTCTCTGAAAACTGCATAAGTAACAGTTAAGACGGTTGGCGCTGCCAAAATATGCAGAGATGCCAAATGAATTTCATGTGACATATGATTGATAGTATGTGTAATGTATAACCTCATAGTGTACATATTAACAATAGCTGTGCAAATCCCGCTCTGCAATATTGGCTCCACCCATACTTCCGCTTATGCTCTTGAGGTGAACGGAGCTGTTTCCTGGACACATTTTCAAACACAGGCACTGAAGTCTGTGTGCGACTTATATGACATGTGGCAAGACGAGCAGCTGTTCAGATATCTTACAAGCACCCAGCAGCTGCGAGACAGTATCTAATAACAGTGTGCACACCAACACATACTCATAGAAGGAAATGCCCTCTTTAAAAGACTTAACCGCACAAGCCCTCCTCTCTCCTGCAGACACTACACACATACCTAGAAAACAAGACAGCAAACCACTTGCAGGACCACACAATGGTATTTTTCTTCTAGCCCCATCAAACACACGTAAACACACACACACACAGTGGTTCCACACACAGTGAAGATCCATCTCAGTGATCCGATCACAAGAGTGTTTATGCCTTGTAGTAATGCGTTTCATGTAACAACTTCTGATCAGATTGTGAAGGGTCTCCAATTTAATTTGATAATTTTTACTAAAAAAACAATGAAAACTTTGTGCACCATTTTTCTCAAATATACAGGTCACATACCTGTATTAACTAAATGTTCCAAATGCAAAAAAAGGTGCACAAAACAGCACATAAAAGTTTTAAAACTTTTAGCGCAGTGATTGTGAGTAGGTGGTCCTTTACTGTTCACCAGTCCAGAATGCATTTAAGGTTGGCATATAGGAATGCTATTAGATTAGTATTTTACACTATTATGTAGTCCAATCCATTTTCGGATGCCTTCAAATGTTGGTGTTTTGTGCCCCTTTTATACCCGCATTTAACGTTGAACTCTTATATTGGATCACCCAAAGCAAATCACAACACCAAATGTGTTACATACCAATATATATATATATATATATATCTATACTGTATATATCTATACTGTATAGATTTTTTTTTTTTTTTTTATTAAAATTCAAAACTTAACTTATGGAAAAAGTTATTGCATCAACTGCTTTCATCAAACATATTGTAAAAAAGTTCTATAAACTCAAAAAAACTAAAAACAAACGTGTGGATCCGAGTTAAATAAACTTGCGGTTCAAGTTAAGCTTGACATTCCATAACAGTGATGCACCATTGAACTTTCATATCTTGTGTAGCAGTTTGTTGACCAAAATGAAAAGGTTATATAGAGTTACTTCTGTTGTATACTCATTGAAATGGAAGAAACTTCACTGAAGAGAAGACTAATCATGCAGATTGTGACTTGTAACATACAACTTTTACAACAAAATATAAAAAAAGACAACGCTACATAGAGCTAAAACCTATAAAACTTAAATAACAAGGTTAAGGCCCTCCCGTCTAAAGAAACATAATGTAACAATAACAAAAGCAACTTTGCTTGGTTGTGTGTGTGTGTGTGTGTGTGTGTGTGTGTGTGTGTGTGTGTGTGTGTGTGTGTGTGTGTGTGTGTGTGTGTGTGTGTGTGTGTGTGTGTGTGTGTGTGTGTGTGTGTGTGCCTCACCAGTGTCCAGTAGGAGGAATAAAGTATATGCAGCAGTGGACTCGTGAGTCTGGAATCCTCTTCTTCCTGTCGATGTTGATCTCTTCCTGTAAATACTGTTCATATTGTGCATTAATGAACTTCATGATGGGCTGCCAGCTGCAAACAGATCAGAGAGACAGGGAGACACCAGAAAACACATGAGATCTAACACGACCACCAGGTAAACTATGAAATAGTTCAATAGCAGTTAGTATTAAGTTACTTATAATCCATGTTATATATACACTCACCTAAAGGATTATTAGGAACACCTGTTCAATTTCTCATTAATGCAATTATCTAATCAACCAATCACATGGCAGTTGCTTCAATGCATTTAGGGGTGTGGTCCTGGTCAAGACAATCTCCTGAACTCCAAACTGAATGTCAGAATGGGAAAGAAAGGTGATTTAAGCAATTTTGAGCGTAGCATGGTTGTTGGTGCCAGACAGGCCGGTCTGAGTATTTCACAATCTGCTCAGTTACTGGGATTTTCACGCACAACCATTTCTAGGGTTTACAAAGAATGGTGTGAAAAGGGAAAAACATCCAGTATGCGGCAGTCCTGTGGGCGAAAATGCCTTGTTGATGCTAGACGTCAGAGGAGAATGGGCCGACTGATTCAAGCTGATAGAAGAGCAACTTTGACTGAAATAACCACTCGTTACAACCGAGGTATGCAGCAAAGCATTTGTGAAAGCATCTCCACTACAAATAGGAAAAAGAGGCAACAATTTGCAAGAGCTCACCAAAATTGGACAGTTGAAGACTGGAAAAATGTTGCCTGGTCTGATGAGTCTCGATTTCTGTTGAGACATTCAGATGGTAGAGTCAGAATTTGGCGTAAACAGAATGAGAACATGGATCCATCATGCCTTGTTACCACTGTGCAGGCTGGTGGTGGTGGTGGTGTAATGGTGTGGGGGATGTTTTCTTGGCACACTTTAGCCCCCTTAGTGCCAATTGGGCATCGTTTAAATGCCACGGCCTACCTGAGCATTGTTTCTGACCATGTCCATCCCTTTATGGCCACCATGTACCCATCCTCTGATGGCTACTTCCAGCAGGATAATGCACCATGTCACAAAGCTCGAATCATTTCCAATTGGTTTCTTGAACATGACAATGAGTACTAAAATGACTTCACTGTACTAAAATGGCCCCCACAGTCACCAGATCTCAACCCAATAGAGCATCTTTGGGATGTGGTGGAACGGGAGCTTCGTGCCCTGGATGTGCATCCCACAAATCTCCATCAACTGCAAGATGCTATCCTATCAATATGGGCCAACATTTCTAAAGAATACTTTCAGCACCTTCTTGAATCAATGCCACGTAGAATTAAGGCAGTTTTGAAGGCAAAAGGGGGTCAAACACAGTATTAGTATGGTGTTCCTAATAATCCTTTAGGTGAGTGTATATATATTGATATGTTTTCCATAGCAGGTATCAATTCTGACTGATAAATAACGAGATACTTACCAGTTCTCATTGTTTATATGGTCTCCAAAGCCTGGTGTATCGATGACGGTCAGCTTCATTCTCACTCCTTTTTCCTCAATATCTGTATACAAGATGAGTTTGAAGAGGTGAATGTGCACTGTAGATAACCAAACTTATGAGAAAGTCAGAATTGTTAAAATAAGACTTCTGCTTATCTGTTTCAGTTTTAGTTCATCAGGCCTTTTTACCATGACTGATGGACTTGATTTCAATGGTCTTGGGAATTCGCTCTTCCTCAGTTGTCATCACAGATCTGCGACTCACTTTAGATTTAAAAAGTGTGTTCATTAGTGTGGATTTACCCAGACCACTCTGACCTGTACAAATGGAAAGACAAAAAAAAAAAAAAAAATCGATGTTTTAAATTGAATGAATAAAGCATAGTACTATAAAGCACACACACACACATACACACACACACACACCCCTCATCATAGTGTGGACTATAAAAGAGCCAGTGTTTCTAGAGGAGGTTCATGGGAGCAGCTTGTTGGATCTCTCGTTAACATCTATGATAAAGCAAGAACAAAGGTTGCAGCTGGAATCAGTTGAGCGTAGCAGCCAGGCAGATCCTCTCACTGCAGAAAGCATTAACCATGTCCGATTGAACATTCTTGTGGGGGTGGGGGGGCATATTGGTGGGCATGTAACTGATAAATAATGAACTATAAAACCCCTGAAAGTAACCTCCAACCATTAGATGTTTGCAAATGTTTGAATATATTCAAGCTTAAAGGAGCTGATAAAAAGTGATTAGAGGATTATAGTTAGACAACAAACCTCAGAAGACACTCTGCAAACTGACAAAATCACTCTCATCAACAGCTTAACGAATGCAGGACATTAAAGAAAGATAAACCCATGAACAACACGCCTTGAATATTTCTGTAAAGCAGCTAACTATCCATATAGTCACTTACCAAAGTACTGGATTGAAACAAACATCAACGTGTTCATTCAGAGATACAAAAGCTTTTATCTCAGTTCTTAAGTCCTCAAAGCAAAAGACAAACAGCACTATCAAAAAACAATCCTTCTAAGGCTATGCAAGTGGCTACAGGTTCCATGTTTCAGAGTTTTACACATTGCCAAGAAAAACAAATAAAATCAGGGATATATACTGCTGGAGGCAGGCAAGTCAACACATATTGTGGAGCGGTTCCATACTGATGCACTTGGGTCTGTGAATATGGCATATAAAGGAATAATATAGTCTGAATCTGGAACCAAGGTCATGATTAAGAGTCAGTTGGGGACATTCAGGGCATTCGTATTGGACCACTAGAGGTGAAATTGTTGGGTGGTGTTACCTGCTGGTAAGCGAAGATTACCAGAAGATCTCGGCTAGTAACCGAAAGGTTGTAGATTCAAATGGATCTACCAGATTCCAAGCCATTTTGAATCCAAGATGTAATGGCAATGACTAGAAACCAGTGGTATATTCTACGTGATACACGGGTATATGCCGTATACCCACTAGGAAAGGTCAAGGATTTCTGTAAACCCACTTAACAAATAATGAGGGTACGTAACAACATCGTTTTGTGACAGAACATTCACACTTTCATTCATAAATTCACCCCGTCTGTGTTGCGAAACACTGGCTTTTGGACCATTGGGGCTTCCATGGCCTGTTACCTGGATCTGACATCAGTTACCAAGGTACAACTAAAGCCACTAGAAGACAAGCCTGCAACCTTATCCAAAAAAGCGTAACGGCTAATGCTAACGCTCGGCTCTGGCGGTACGCAGGAAAGGAGACCAGAGGCCTTTTTATTTTAATGGAGAAGAGGCTTCACTACACTGAATAAACCACTTATGTGAGGAAATAGTTTATCATTTAATGAATCGACTGCCTGTCCACTAATCTTCAACATGTTTTACGCTAAGCAATATTTTTGTTAGGAACGTTATGTAGATCTTACTATGATAAAAAGGTTATTTTATAAGAAAAGGCAGAGAAAGGAATGTCGCAACAGGTAGGACTCATTTACGGCATTACCATAGTATTTAATGGTAATATCGATTGAGTGATATTGTATTTTATCTAAATAAAGTAAAAAAAATATAGAGGTTTTCTTTCTTTGGCTTTCAGGTTTTACCAGTTATGATAAGACTTGAATTGTAATGACTTATGACTATTATAACTGCATGCATGGTGCTGATATTAAGCATTTTAATAAATAAGGAGAAAATGAATAATTTAATTATAAATAGTGTTATATTGTATGTTGTTTAATAAAGAAAAACGTTTTCTATAATGCTGCCAGGTTATTGTATTGTAATAATTTATGACTGCTGTGTGCCTAATAATGATATAATGCTTTTTAATGAATGATGGTAAAAAATACATATAATTTTAATAAATTAGATATGCACTAAATAAATTACAATTAAGTTTTTAGTGTAATCTTAAATGTGGTTTTATGCTCCCTGCATTGACAAACTGTATGCAGCTAATAAAGATATTTGCGCTCTTTTTTCCGCAGTAAAGCACATTCCACAAACAATGCAGTCCTACTATGCCTTTACTAGCGATATAACACCAAATATAGAACATTTATTCACAAGACCAACGTGCTAATAATACACAAGGAACTGATTAACGTAATCTGTAACTCACTGTCATAAAACTTTGAACTGCAGGAATTGAAGTCACTGTCAATACACGATAGGCTGAGGTGCCTCACGTGATCCAAGTTAGCCATTGCGCTTTCTCCAATTATAAGAGATACAGACCCCCTCATCTCCATATAAGACAATCTCTGGTACAACAACACAATTGCTTGGCGGTCATTCTCTACGCAAGTTTGATATTTTTTTGCTCACGTTTTGGCTCTTAACTTCACGAAACATGCTCCGATCGTGGAAAATGGCTCATCATTATTTACAGCAGATTCTCACTATTATGTTGAGTCCAACATAATCCATTGCGTCAATCAAGAGATATCCCTCATGGAGTTACAACACATAAAACTCCATAGGCGCTAACTAAAAACAAATGTAGCTTTCACGTGGCATTTTTGCCCATAACTTTATAAAACATGCACAGATCGTAAGGCACATCATTACTTACAATGGATGTTCTCGAGTCCAAAATCAACATTTAATCCATTGCGTCGATCACGAGATTCCTCACGGTTCAAATTGTTGAACATCAAAATCAACAATTTTAAAAATGCCAATCAGGGGGGTGTCAAGGGCTAAACAAAAAGGCTACATTGGTTCCAAATGCTGTCACTTTTGATTACTTTGTGCTATCACCATACAACTGTATCCAGATGCAGCTCACATGTAGGGAACATTCATTGTACCATTTCATTCCTGAGTTATTGCATGTCAAATAAGAAAGATATGTACAACAATCATTATAAAAATGATTATATATAAATATATATAATCTTTTATTAGTAGTTTCTCAGCATGAGAATATGTTAAAATGTAATGATGTAGATATGTAGATGCATACTGTATGCATTAGTGAGTGGTGAGTTTATGACCTGCGTGAAGTTGGCCCCCCACCCAACGCAAAACATCGGCAAAATAGGCTCAATCATTTGTGCTGTAAAAAAAATGTGTTTGTACTGCTTCGGTTTTTTAGATATTAAAAGAATATATCAGATTGGAGGGAAATTCACCCAGGTCAGTGTCAATCCACAGAAGTTCTCCCAGACTGTAACTGTGAGAAACTTTACCTGCACAGAGCACTTTTCCAGGGGTATCTGTCTTGTATGCAGAGGGACACTATGACGGACTTTGGATTGGCCTGAGGCAGCGGGACTCCGGAAGTTTAAGGCTGCCTTCCACCACGGTCTGAAGATGAGCCATGCCAGAAGCCTGCAGTACAGCAACATAAGTACAAACAAATTGAATTTCCCTTGTGACTTGTTTGCTGAGACCACAATACTGAGAGGAGCACTGTTTTGTGGAGGAACTTTTCAATGATAGTGGAGTAGTTTAACAGGCTTTTGATTATTTCCATTTTTCAACAGGTCCACTTTCAGTTTTTTCCCCCTCACAGATGGATCTGCATGGAGCCACTCAGGACAAGAAGAGAGGTATGAATTTCTCTTCCTCTTTTTGGGTGGAACCGCTAAGCCTCTCCAGTTTTCAACAGCTTCTTCATCTGTTGGATGGATGTTTGTGACAGTGTCAGACTTCCCAGAGCAGGAACCATCCATTTCTGGCTTTTCATCTACACTGAAGGTTGTGGTGGGTAGTGGGTTGACTCCTGTGTCGATCACTGTTGCTTCATCACCTTTCTGTTTTGCAGAACAAATTCACATGTTGCCTTCAATGAAGGACAGATGTTGTGCAATTAATCGATCCACTCGAACAGGCAAGTTTTCATGCTTGAAAAAGCTGTGTTTGATGTTTTTGAACCCGCATTAAACATTGACTGAACTTGCGGTGATGTTGGTGCTTCGAAAATGAGGGATCATTACCACTGTTCAGAGTGGTAAGTAATTTGCCAGCCAGATTATATTGGGAATAATCTCAGGGAGGAAGTGCATATTGTCACCATTAGTTATGGCAAGTGACCTGCTCTCCTCACATATGTCTGTTACCCACTGCCGCAGGTCTGTCTGTGTTTGGTAACATGGATCCACTTCTTCCAGGTCCTCACCCTCTACATCTGGAATGATGACACACTCTTCTGCAATTCGGGATTTCAGGTATTTCTTGCACCTTTCTGATGTGAGGGGGGTCCAGAGCTGTCATTTCCCTCTGCTTCGCTGAGAGCCACAAAAGTAATACTGCGTAGTAGCTCTCTTGCATCGTCCATGGATTGTGACATGAGAAGCTGAGCCATTGACCTCGCAGAGAAATCTTTATCGTAATGTTTTTTTTTTTCAAGCAGCCCCACTGGCAGAACATCTTGATGCAGTGTGCAACATCAACCCGAACAAAACAAGATGGAACTGTTGCTGACTGTTTACCGAGTAAGACACCACAACAATCATTGATGTAGGTCTTTAGATCAGGATGAGGAGTAAAAGCCTTGACCAAAGCTCAGAGCAAAGCCAGAGAAAAGTCACTCACAACCTCTTTGGCAGTTGGTGCACCTGCATGTAGCCATTGTGTCAGCCAATGTGTTATTGCATTAACATCATGTCTGCCAGAACACCCTAATATAGGAATATATGGCCAGACTTGTCATTTGGTTTCTGTAGTTTCCTCACCACTGAGCCAGTTGCATCAAAACTCACAGTGGGGTTAGTAGATGTATTTTATAATGTCTTGTACATATACGTTTGTGTTTGACTCCAAAAGTGACAGAAACACTTGTCCAGTCCAATGCCTTTAATGCAACCAC